TGCCTTCAGGTATCTTGTCAACCTATGATGACCCCATGAATTTCATGGAATTTTCTTAGGCAAGGAATATTCAGAGGTGGTTATTGCCAGTTCCATCTTCTGAAATATAGCCTACAGCACTCGGTATTCTTTGGCAGTCCCTGTATTTAGATTTCAAATAATTATTTCTGGTAGTGAGCTCCATGACCTAAATCCTAGAGTACAGCCACTGAATAAGTTGTTGAATGGTGAGTCAACACTTGCACAAATCCCATTGAGTCCCTGGATCTACTTTAGTTAGTACTATAAATATGATTCAGGTACATATAGGCACCCATGAAACTCCTGATCAAGAGGCAAAGAGATCAAGATAAACATATTGATGGGAATGGAGAAGCCCTTGAAATCATGGGAAAATTGCAAACATGTTGGATATTTGCTAGATGGATTAAAGCAATATTGATGTGGGCTGGTGGATCTATGATTAAGAAGGGTGAGGTAGTTGCCCCAGGCATTGGATTTCCAAATGAAAAACAGGACAGGGCTGCTGTACCTGTCATGCAGAACAGGGAATTTCAGTTTATGTGACAAGCAACTTCTATTGAAATGCCATCCTCTATAAAACTACTAATGCTGGAGTACAGAGCTGTGTGCCACATAGCCTGCCCATACTCCTTAAACCAGTGTGCTACTCAAAATTGTGATCTGTAGCATAATGCCAATCCACAAGCCATCAGCTGCCAGTCTCTGGAGAATTTCCAGGGAAAGAAGGAAAGAATTATTGCCAATGAACACAAATATGGCACCAGCCCCTGGCACAGAAGGAAAAGGCAATCTCCTACACCAGATAATTTGAGGTGCACTGTCTTAAGCTAATATGTTGCCTCAGGGTACAGTTCCATCGCCAGCATTGGGAAAAGATTCAATTGCCTTCTGTCCAATTTCTTTGATACAATTTCTAGTCCACATAATTGCACAAAAACAGTTGAAATGTAAGGATGGGCTGTGCTAGCTGGCACCGAAGGGCTTCCAGGAATCAAGGAATGGAATTGTTCTGCATTTGTTCATGCTCACTTATCATGGCTTCATTTCTTTACAACCCATGAAGGATGTTTTCCCATTCAGAGTATTATCTCTTTGTGCTGAAGTTCATCATATAACTCACTAGCACAGTAATTAAGTTTTGAAACTTTGCAATAAAGTTAGTAGAACACTCAGTAGTCTTAGGGAGTTTGACAAAGTCTTGGGATACTAATTCAAATCTTGGGTACCTGAGACAGATTGTGCCTAGATAATATTAATCTTAAGGGACTGTCTAGACCTAATGAATTAAACAAAAATAATGGAAATGTGAGGGATGACAGTGTTGGTGAGCTAACACAAAAATGCTTTCTCAGTTACAAATTCATCATCTCTTGCACAGGTTATGAGTACATGTACATGGTTCATAGAATACTTAAAACTGCCCTATTTTTTGGCAGTAAAGGTAGCCTTTTATTATTTGATGTTATGGGAAATAAACTGAAGCCTACCTACCAGTTTCTTTTAATATCACATTAGTTTCCTATACTTCTTTGAAGCTCTCAGAACAGAGCTCTCAGTGACTTCCATAAAGGACCCCAGCAGTTTCTATGGCAGACAGGAGTTTGAATCCACAGGTAATACTTTTGAAAATATTATACTGCTTTTTCAGATTTCTATGTCTGTTAAAAAAAAAAAATCAGAGGAGGAGCCAGAGGCAGAGCCTCTGAAGGCAAGCCTAGGAC